CAGACACAGTAACAACAAAGTCTCCAATGGAGACGTTACTGGGCCCGCTCGAGCAAATCGACGATCAACGGGAGGGCCTTTACCTTTACCTTTACCCTAGGGACTGGAGAGATGGTAGATGACCTGGTTGGATCCCTGGCATCACATATGGACCCCCGAGAACCACCAGGAGTGAAGCTGAGTGTAAGAGTCAGAAGTCAGCTCTGAGCATCACCAGGTTTGGTCCCCAAAACAAAATTCTCTAGCCCCTTGAACCATCTCTCTGGCCACCAATAGCGTTTTCCTTTTTTTTTTTTTCTTTTTTGGGTCACACCTGGCGATGCTCAGGGGTTACTCCTGGCTCTGCACTCAGGAATTACTCCTGGCAGTGTTCGGGGGACTATATGGGATGCTGGGCATCGAACCCGGGTCGGCCGCATGCAAGGTGAATCAAAGCCCTACCCGCTGTACTATCACTCCGGCCCAGGATTTTCCTTTCATTGAGCATTCTGTTAGGCAGAGAAGCAGCTAAGAGTGAGTGAGTGAGCAGTGAGGAGGCCAGAAGAGGCAGGACCAGGCTGCTGGCCCGGGGCAGCGGGGCAGCAAACAAGGACTCTGTCTCTGCCAACGCGGGAGGAACAGGGATGCGGGAGGGTGTCAGACTCTGAGTCATGAAACGTCCCAGCGCAGAGAGACCGGGAGAGGGGCCGGGACTGTGCCATAGGGGTGCCAGCCAGCGGGGACGCAGGGGTCTGGGCCTCCGCTCATGGCCCCGGGTGAGGCCAGCCTGCCCGACTCCACACAGCATCCCTCTGCTCCACTCTGGCCTGGAGGAGCCACTCAGGCACGTGCTCGGGGACCCCTTCCCTGAGGTCAGGCTGGGGGTCAGGTTCACAGGTGTGAGGGAGCACCCCACGACTGTGAGGTGCCTGGCCCCGGGGGGCCTTCTCTCCCGGCTATTTTGGTAGTGGGGGGTGGCAAGAGGCAAGACTCCCATCCTCGGTCTTAAGATTAGAGCACTGCAGAACACAAGCGTGAAGAATGAGGCACTCACCCGGTGACTAGCAAAACGGAGGCCAGTGGACACAGTGCAGTGCATGTGGCCCTACATGCTAGGAAGTGCTCCCGTCAGGGAAGCAGGCTCCCGGAGCGTCTCACCCGCCCATGTCTGGCCTGGCGTCCATCCGTCCGTCCGTCCATCCGCTGTGAGGGCAGCTCAGCCAGCCAGCGTGTTCCGTGGTGTGCAGCCTGCCCTGGGATTTCTCACCCAGCAGAGGGAAGGTCACTACTGTCTCCTCTCTCACCCCCACCAAATCTCTCCAAAGTCTTCCAAAGTTTGTCATCAGTCTTGTCACCCACTCGACTCTACAGGACATTCCCGCCAGAAACCTCTTACTTTTGTCCTGGTTCCCCTACCTACGCCTCCTGCACGACTGAAATCTCGGCCATTCCCATCCAGGAAGTCTGTGCTCCTGAGGCACCCTCCCCAGGAAGCCTTCCTGGCTTTCACAGCTTTGAATTCAAGTCATTCTGTTGTGTGAGTCTTCACTGAGACTTGCCTTGAGCAGGATTCTGTGGCATGTTTCTTTTGTGTATCGTCACTGGCTTGACAGTGCCAGATGGGTTTGCTTGCAGGAATGAATCCCCAAGGCCTAGCATGAGAGCTCAGCAATCACAAAAGCTGCTGGCCACAAAATCCAGTGCCCAGGAGAGAGTGTAAACTTGAGATTGGGGCTGGAGTGATCGTATAGCAGGTCGGGTGCTTGCTTTGCACACTGCTGACCCTGACACCCCAGATGGTCCCCCGGACCTGTTAGGAGTGATCCCTGGGTGCAGAGGTATGGCTAAGCCCTGAGCACTGCCAGGTGTAGTCCCAAAACAAAACAAAACAAAACCCAAAACACTGAAGAGAGACAAGATCTGATGGCAGGGCCACTGGGGCAGGCTGCAGGTATGAGGGTGGCCAGGAGGACCCTTGCTGGCCAGAGTCAGTTTACACAAACCTCATTGATGCCCAATGGCTGGGCTGTGGCCTGCCTGGCCCTGGGGCCTCTCCCAGACGCTCCTTGGAGTCTGTGGCCACATGGGTGATGCTCCCCAACCCCAGACAGCGGGCGCCAGAGCAGCACAGCCTGGCCAGCCCTGCAGAGCCTCACACGTAGCAGGGCTACGGTCCTGCTCTCTGGCGGTGGGGCCACACCTACCAACAGGGGCTCTCACGTCTAACATTTACATGGCGACAGCTGGAGAAGCAAGAACAGTGCCCTTCCCTGCTTTCCGGGGGTGACCAGAAGAACATCAGCTCACACTTTCGAGCCTGCAGGCCCCCCTAGGGAAAGAGCACCCTCCTCCCATCCCGCCCCCACCTCCGCTGCACCTCCAGAACCGGAACAGACCTACACGAGTGCAGTGCGCCCTGGCGCAGGGGCGCCTCTCGCCTGACACAGAGAGGGCATGCTGCCCCCCTCACACTCAGGCCATGGAGCCCACAGCCTGGTGGAGGGCCTGCAGCATGCTGGCCCCTGCCCGCAGGAGAAGGGGACTCCCCACATCTGCGATGCTCCACTCTCGTGGGCACGGGGCTCATGGGCTAAGGCCTCCAACAAAAGGCGCATCCACAAATGCTGGTGAGTTTCTCACCACGTGGTCATGCTGGGGGCTATTTCCCATGCCATCTCCCCACAGCTGCGCCAGGGCTGATGGGGCTGCCCTTCTGGTTTCAGAACATGGATGGTTAGCTGGAGATAAGGCAGAGTCCTGCTGGCTCCTATCCTTCCCCACGCCCCCTCCCACTCCCCCCCCCAAAAAAAATGTGAGACAGCTTAAAGCACAAATGACACAATCCAATAAAAACAGATGAGAATATTTCCCTGCGGAGGAAACGAGGAAGAGAAAAGGAGGCTGGGGCAGAAACGGTCAGCCGTGCTAAAGGAATGACAGATTCGGTGCCGAGTTTTCTATGGGTTAAATAAACCAAAGAATTATGATCGAAAATAAAACGGGGGGTGGGGAGGGGACCCACCACCTGCTCAGAGATGCTTTTGCTGGGCACGACAAAGGTAATTTCCTGCACATTAACTCCAGGTGGGGTTTCGAAAGGGCGGGCTCTCAGATCTGGGAGGCCTGTGATGGATGCCGCTAATAGTTCTCCGGAAAGGCTGTTTGGATTTATATTCCTACCAGCACTCTGCTCTTGCCTGTAAACTCAGCATTATACTTCAGGGGACGGTGAGCTCTTGGCAAGTGTGATAGATACGAATTCAGTGTTTTCATTAATAAATCACAAAGGCAAATGATGCAATATGAATATGATCTGTGTGGACTGCCGGATATATATGGTGTGTGTGTGTGTGTGTGTGTGTGTCTGTACTCATACAACTATTCTGCATGTATGCACACTCACACATATACACATATATATGCAAAATAGTTTTATTGAAAGAAATTTACTTAAAGAAATGTGAGAACGAGAGGAATATGTGTATAAGAGAACACAGCCTTCTCTAGAGCAAAAAAGCTGCCTGTTTCATATCTTATACATGTTTTCTACTGAATTCTTTCTCTCTCTCTCTCTGGACTGGCATCTGGGAAGTCTTCTTCTAAGGAGGATATTGATTCGTTGCCATATGTGTTATTAATAGTATTGGCTGCCTTTTAGTTTTCCACATCCAAAATTCATCTTTTTGGGGGTGGTAAGATCAAAGTTTTCTTCCCCCAATCCAAGTCAGCTAAGTATTTTATGAAGTGCTTGCTATGTGCTCAACACTGAACATTTCCAGCTCTCACTAGGAGGCTAAGTAACTTGTTCACGGGCATTCAGCCTGCCAGAGAAAATGTATGAGGTCCTGCATTCAAAAAGGCAAAACAAAACAAAACAAAAAAACACATCTGCAGGGAGCTGGCGCTGAGCAAATCCACCCTGAATAAACCAGTACGTCAGCCTGTCCCCATCAGGTGTCAGTTCAAGCCTCTGCCGCGGCCACTGGCCTGGGGTCCTTCTGGTACCTGATACTTATCTCATGTAATACCGTCCCTGGATTTCTGCGAGTAGCACTGGGAACCCCACTTGAGCTGTGTCTGCCAAAGACCACTGGAGTAAGGGAACGAGTCTGACCCTTCACACACACATCAGCCCGGCACTGAGACAAAAACTACTGAGGCTGGGAAGGAGGGAGCCACAGAACTGAAAGAGTCTCTCACCCATCACCATTGCTTCTGGAAAGACACAGTGATGTCCCGGTGTTCAATGCCATGAGGAAATGCACCTTTACCTGCAGCCCCTCAGCACTCGCTACTTCCCCCGACTCCCCCACGGGGCAAGCAGCTCTGTGGGGAGACTAAACAGAGGGGGAAACCAAGGCACAGAGAGTCTGCCACACGATGCCAAAGATCACCCCAAGGGGCCCGGCGGTCCTCTGGGCAGGGGTTTGGCCAGGTCACTGGGGAGCATGTGCTCAGTGTCCTGACCACATGGGAACCCCGAGCAGAGGCCAGTTCATGAGAAGCAGATGGTCTGCCCTTTCTTAGGACTGGAGAGATGGTACATCAGTAAGGCACTTGCCCCAGTTCCATCCCCAGCACCCCATATGGTTCCCGGAGCCCCACCAGGAGTGACTGATCTCTGAGCACAGGGCCAGGAATAAAGAAGCCCCGATGGCAGCCAGGTGTGGTCCCAAAATAAATGAGTGCAGTTTCACCGGCAGACTAAGAAGCCTTCATGTGGGGCTGGAGCCATAGCACAGCGGGTGAGGCATTTTGCCTTGCATGCAGCCGACCCGGGTTCGATTCCCAGCATCCCATATGGTCTCCCGAGCACCACCAGTTGTAATTCCTGAGTGCATGAGCCAGGAGTAACCCCCGTGCATCGCTGGGTATGACCCAAAAAGAGAAAAAAAAAAGCCTCCATGCCGAGTTCAGTGAGGAACACGAACACTCATGGCACTAAGGAAGTTCTTTTCCCTCTGGAAAGCAAAGCCGACCCCAGGGAGTGGACTGCCAGGAGCCAGGCGCAGGCCGCCTACCTTGGATCCCATAAAGCCTGTTGAGGCGAGAGCGCCGGGCCTCATCGGTGTAGGGCACAGCAAGCCAGGGCATCTCACTGAAGTACTGCTTGAACGAGTCCTCGGACCTATGGAGAACAGCTCTGTTACTTCCCAGCCACCGCCACGCTTCTGCCCGCCGTCTGTCAGTGGTGCCCAGGTGCTGAATGACAGGGCTGCTGGCACGGAGTGGGAAGAACCTCCAGACAGCCAGAGCCTGCACACCGGAACAGCAGGCCAGGGGCCAGAGCAATGGCAGTTGGTGGGAGGGGTGAGTGCTTTGCACGAAGGTGACCCAGGTTCGACCCCCAGCACCCTATCTGTTCCCCCCAAGCTCCACCAGGAGTGGTTCCTGAGCACAGAGCCAGGAGTAAGGCCTGAGCACAACTGGATGTGGCCCAAATACCAAAGTGGAGGGGAACCCACAAGAAGCCAGGCCATCTCGGCAGCCTGTGGCCTGCCCAGGGTCAGACACGGTCCGTTTTCATATTCAACACATACACTCTGGCTTTCAAAAAGAAACCTAGATGGACTGAACAGAAAATTGGGAAAAACAAATCCGACCAAGTAATAGAGAGCAGGGGCTGTTGAGACAGTCCAGTGGAGAAGGTGTTTGCCCTTCATGTGGCAAACCAGGTTCAATCCCCAGTATCCTATATGGTCCCCTGAGCACTGCCAGGAGTCATTCCTGAGAACATAGGCAGAAGTAACCCCTGAGCATTGCCAGGGGCAATGAGGAATTTCCCCTACTCCTTTTTGTTGGTTCCAGTGCCAAGGATTAATCCCAGAATCTCATGAGTTCAAGACAGGTGCTCTGACCCTGAGCCACACTCCCAATTTGAAAGGAAAACATTTTTTTTTAAGTGGGGCGGCACACCGGGCTGTGCTCAGAGCTTCTTCCAAGCTCTGTGCACAGAGATCACTCTTGGCAGGACTCAGGGGGCCATACAGGGTGTCAGGGATCGAACTTAGGTCAGTCATGTGCAAGGCATCCACCCTATCCACTGTACTATTGCTCTAGGCCCAGAGGGAAAATCCTTTTGAGGAATGAAAATCATCTTTATAATGAGTGAAAGGCAGTGGGCTCTCTGGTATGTATATGGGAGCGCTGTAAGCATGAAGCCAAGGTACCTCAATAGAAGTGGAGCAAAACACATTGTACTTTAACTGGGATGGCTACTTGGGGGCATGCCCTGGACAAAATTCACTGACCTGGGCTGGACCAATAGTAGAGAGGGTAGGGCATTTGCCTTGCATGCAGCCAGCCTGGGTTTGATGCCCAGTCAGAGCACCACCAAGAGTAATTCCTGAGTGCAGAGCCAGGAGTAACCCCTGAGACTCACCAATTGTGGTCCAACCCCCACCCCAAACCCCCACCAAATTTCAGTAAAATGTATAAATAAAATGAATGCATTCTGTGGTGTGTAAGTAATACTTCAATAAAACAGCTGATCTTGGGGCCAGAGCAATAGGACAGAGGCCCAGGTTGGCCGCATGCAAGGAAAAAGTCCTACCCATTGTACTATCTCTTTGACTTGCGTTTGATGCCTGGCACTCCATATGGTCCCCTGAGTAAACCCTGAGCACAACTGGCCCAAAACAAAACAAAAAACCAAAAGCAAACAAGAGGGAAAAAAAAACACAACTAGTTGGTCCTTTTTAAACTTTAATACATGAAGGGCCAGGAATATAGCTCAGGGGCAGGCATATGCCTCACCTGTATGTGGCTCCGGGTTTGATCTCCAGCACAGAAACCCTCACAAATATGACTGCTCCACCTGGCATGCCTTCCCGCTGGCCCCCAGCCATGAGTATTGAGACAGGGAGCTGGGGTGGGGGTGCAGCGGCCCATAAGCTGAGCACAGATGCAGCTGAGCTGATGCAGAGAGCTGGGACAGGGCAGTGAACAAAATGTCCCTTGGGGAGCTGGCATCACAGAGCCCCTTTTATCCGCAGATCTTGAGAGGTAAGGGGCGGAACCACAGTACAGTGGGTAGGGCATTGCCTTGCATGTGGCCAGCCTGAGTTGGATTTCTGACATTCCATATGGTCCCCAAGCACTGCCAGGTGTAATTCCTGGGTGCAGAGCCAGGACTAATTCCTGGGCATCACCAGGTGTGGATCCTCCCCCCACACCCCAAAAAAAATACGGCACTGTAGCACTGTCCTCCCTGTTGTTCGTCGATTTGCTCAAGCGGGCACCAGTAATGTCTCCATTATGAGACTTGTTGTTACTGTTTCTGGCATATCAAATACGCCGCGGGGAGCTTGCCAGGCTCTGCCACACGGATACTCTCGGTAGCTTGCCTGGCTCTCCAAGAGGGACAGAGGAATCGAACCCGGGTCGGCCGCGTGCAAGGCAAACACCCTACCTGCTGTGCTATCGCTCCAGCCCTAAAAAAACAAACCTCGAGAGGCAAACAAACCCTGGGGTCTGATCTACTCTGGGGCTAGTGTCTGGTGAAGAAGGAGGGTGTCAGGTGAGGAAAGGTGGGGAGCAGGGCGAGAGGTACCCAGGACCTGAGAGGCTCCTGGAGAAGTGAGCAAGAGGCAGACATGGCGGGGGCCTGCTCCTCCCTCCTCTGGCTCTTTCCCTTCCATCCCTCCTCAGTATCTGAAAACCCAAACAAACGAAACAGCGCAGCCCCTCTGCGGGCACCAGGCTGAGGAGGGTCCACACCGGTGCTCCCAACCAGCACGTTTTCCTTGGCTCCCCAACTGAACGAGCCCACGTGGGATGTTGCCAGCCCTCTACCCTCACCCCACCTGTCCCAGCCACCCCATCTTCTTGCTCCCCCAGTAGGAAGCGTGGGCGCTCACTGCTCAGCTCGCCTCACCTGTCCGCACTCACGAAGATGATCTCAAACTTCTGGCCTGCCTCCTTGATCTTCCGGTAGGACTCCACCAGCACGCGGGTGAGGCTCCGGCAGGGAGGGCACTGAAAGACAGGAGCGGGAGCCTGCAGGCGGGGTAGCACCCACACCCCGTCTCTCAGACCTGGCCCTTGGGGAAGCCGGGCAGGAAGGAGACCCAAGACATGCTGCCCAAAGAGGTGAGATCAGCACTTTAGTCAACGAGGCCCCCTTGGGCCACCAGCTGCCCGGCCTGGAAGGGGTGGTGCTGGAGAGGTGCCCTGGGCTCTGGCCCTCTTTTCAGAAGGAAGAAAATCACTCAGCACCCTGCTGAGAATTGAACGTCTTAAAAATTTTTTTCTTTCCTACTTTTTAATTGGGACCGCTCGAGCAAATCGATGAACAACAGGAGGACCGTGACCGTGACTTTTTAATTGAATCACTGTGAGAGAGACCCTTACAAAACTGTTCACGATTGGATTCCAGTCATGCAGTGTTCCAACACCCATTCCCCCCCACCAGTGTACATTTCCCAGCACCAGTGTCCCCAGGTTCCCTCCCATCACCTCCCCCCACCCTGCACCTCTGGGTGCTCTTCATCTGTCTATCTGTCTGTCTCTCTTTGAGCATTGCAATACTGAAACTGAAAAAGGTTATCAAGAATATCCCCTACCTACTTTTAACACTCAGCTCTTGTCCAGCATGATCAGTCCCTGCTACTATTGTCATACTGGTCTCTTTTTGAGAGAATTGAACTTCTTGGACCCAACCAATGTACTAGTTATATGTAACAACCCTAGATTGTTCCAGGGTCCCACCCCTGCCTGCCCTGGGATGGCGGATGGTATGGCTGCATTTTAAAATGCTACTCTGCAACTGCCATCGTGGTTCAGGTGCAGGAGACAGACAGCAAGGGGGTGGGAAGGTTGGGCCTGAGCGGTCCCAGCCCTCGTGTATGTGTAGTGGGGGGTGGGGGGCAGAGCCAGCAGGTGACCCCAGCTTCCCGCCCTCTGGGCGCACAGTGACCTGAACACTCACCCAGTGCGCAGAAAAATAGACGCCCACGTGGGAGCCCTCCAGGCTGCAGCTCTCCAGGGACTGCCCGGTGCTCCTCAGCAAGGGTCCCGCAATGACTTCCCGGAAGGGCTTGGGTCCCCAGGGAAACTCCAGACCTGCGAAGGCAACAGGGGGTAAGCCGGTCCCTCCTCCACAGCGCCGCCTGCAGGGCATCTGGCACCTAGCACCCAGCAGCCCTCAAAAGTGGTCGCTCTCAAATCACTACAAATCATAGCTGGGGGTAACTGCTGCCTCCACCATCACCACCACCGGCCTCAGCACAATAGCTCCATGACGTGGGGCTCACTGGACCCATTTCCGGGGTCCTGCAGCAAGCCTAGAGATCCAGGCGGGAGATGTATGTATGTTCAGAACAGAGTCAGCATGATTCACCAGATCACTCAACACTGAGGCATCACCGCGTGGTATTGAGTTGCTTTAGCGGGGCAGGGAGATAGAGAGTGGGGTTGGTGCTTGCCAACAATGCAACTGACCTGGGTTCCAGCCAGCACCCCGTATGGTCCCCCAAACCCCACCAGAAGTGACCCCTGAGCGCAGAGCCCTGAGCACCGTAGACAAACCAAGCGATTTCATTCCCAACCCCAGAGCAGTGTCTCTCATCTGCCTCTCATCCGCGAGGGGAGTGAGTGTAAACCAGGACACCCCTGGGACTCCCCCCAGGGGAGGGAGTTGGATTCACCCTGGGTGGGGGCCCAGGGAACCACTTAAGAACTTGTCTGGTGAAAGGGAACGAGCCACGCCCACTCCATCCACAGGGCCCAAGTCCTGGCATTTAAGCCCCAGGCATGAGAAGGGATACTGCCTTCCTAGCTCTTCAGTGTTCTCTCACTGGGTGGTCCATGGACCACTGCCTTGGAATTGCCTGGGGTGGGGGTGGAGGGAGGAGCACAGACTCGTTTAAAACGCAGACCGCCTATCCCTCCCTGAAACAAATTCGAAATGTCTGGCTGGGGAAGGGGCCAGGGGAACTGCATTAGAAAATCAGATTCAGGGCGTGGGGCCGGGGGGTGTCTTTTACCATGCCCTGGCTTTTACTGGGGGAATTCTTTATTTGGGGGCCACACCTGTCTATACTCAGGGCTCTGTCCTGCTCTGTGCTCAGGGGTCACCCCTGGCAGTGCTGAAGGACCATCTACAATGCTAGGCCAGGAGCTAGGGTCGGCTGCATGCAAGGCAAGTGCCTTAACCCTGTCCTATCTCTCTGGCTTCTGGAGGAAATTCCTTAAAGCAGGTAAATAAGGTTTTTTTTTTGTGGCTTTTGTGCTGTACCCAGCAGTGCCCAGAAAGCCATGTGTGGTGTCCGGAACAGAATCAGGGTCAGCCATGTGCAGAGCTAGCACTTTTTATTGTTTCGTTTTGGGGTCACCCCTGGTGGTGCTCAGGGCTTATTCCTGGCTTTACTCTCAGGGATTGTTCCTGGCGCCCCACAGCACCTGGGGGTACTGGCGATTGAACCGGGTCGGCCGCATGCAACGAAAACACCCTACCTGCTGTACTATCACACCGGCCCCCGCACCTTAACTCTTATAGTATCTCTCTGACCCTTAAAGCAGGTGATTTTTTTTTGAATTTTTATTCGTGAAACACCATGAGGTACAGTTGTAAACTTACAAATTTTTGTGCTTGGGTTTCAGTTATACAATGATTGAGTACCCATCCCTCCACCAGTGCCCATTTTCCACCTCCAATGCTCCCAGTATCCCTCCCATCTCCCCATCCCACCCCACCCCTGTGGCAGGGCATTCCCTTTTGTTTTCTCTCTCCTTTTGGGTCCTGTGGTTTGCAAAAGAGGTAATGAGTGGCAATCACGTTCAGTCTATAGTCTACTTTCAGCATGCATCTGTCACCCTTTACTTGGTGCTCCCCTAGCATGTGCGGCTGGCCTCCAAGCCATGGAGTGAACCTCCTGGTACTTATCTTGGCTATTCTTGGGTGTTAGTCTCCTATTTTGTTACTTTACATTCCAAGCAGGTGAATTTTTTACCAGGAAAATGTGTGACCTGCGTTGAATCTTCTTCTAATAATAAAAGTGATGGGAGACTGATTCTATGACCCTTTTATGACTCCAGGACAAGGAAAAAGAAATAGATGTGGGGGGCGGCCGGAGTGCTAGTACAAGGGTTAAGACACTTGCTTTGCCTGGGGCAAACCTTGGTCTGGTCACCAGCATCCCCAGGAGTCACTCCTGAGCACAGAGGCAGGAAAACCCCCGACAGGCCCCGGTCAGCAAGGAGTCAGGGGCTCCGACTCAGGCCAGGAGAGCCAGTGTTCGCTGGCTGCGGTGATGTTTAAAGCAGAACAAAGCCCCACGCAGTCAGTCCTGTCTCACCGCAGAGGGGGGCTGCTGGTGAGATGGGGCGCCCCGTCAGAATCAGGGCCCCTAGCTGCCTCTCAACAGCTGCCTCCCTCAAAGCTCAACTTCCTCCTTTGGATTCCATCTCCTCTGGCCCATGAATTAGAGCCCCCAGGAGGGACATTCTGATCCCTTTAAAAATCTTAACCATGACCTGGAGAATACTAAAATTTCATCAAGACAATACTCTGTAGCCAAATAAACCCATTCCAAAGAGTTCATGTGTCCGCCCTGGGCCGGCCGGGAGGAGGCTGGGCGGGGGTGGCGGGGGTGGCTGCAGAGCCGGGCCCTACCTTCGGGGTCATCGCGGATCACCAGCAGACCATTCCTGCACACCACCTTCCCGGTGGAGGCGTCAAGGAATATGAGGGATGGAATGTTGGAAATTCGATATTTGTTCCACAGTTTCAGCTGCAAGGAGAAAAGGAAGAAGAAGGTCGTTAAGACCCAGTCTGATTCCTGCGGGATCCCTCAGGGCTGCTCAGTAGATGGGCTGGAAACCCCAAGGAAACAGATCAGGGGACTCCTGATGCCAAGCAGGGCAGGGGGCACGAGAGTGACAGTGCAGCTACAACCCCAGGGCCCATGGGGGCTGAACAGCAGGGGACCCAGTGACTCAAGCTGGGCAGAGGCTGTTCTCTTTCCCGACCCCAAGGGTACCTGCTCTCAAAAGTACAAATGTGAAGCCAGATTGGACAACTTCCCCACACAACCCCTAGGGAGTGAAGGCAAGAAGGGGGGCTGATTTTATTTTATTATTATTAGTATTATTATTATTATTTTGGTCTTGGGGCGACACCGGGCGATGCTCAGGGGTTACTCCTGGCTCTGCACTCAGGAATCACTCCTGGCGGTGCTCAGGGGGACAAGAAAGGAAGTCGGGGATCAAACCCGGGCCGGCCGCATGTAAGGCCAATGCCCTATCTGCTGTACTATCCCTCCAGCCTCTATTTTAGCTCTGCTCTGTCCGGGAGCTCTGGGGGAGAAGGAACAAGAGTCTGTTGCAGAAAACCTAGCAGACACCACCCTACCCTACCCATACATGTCTACTTCCCAGCGCCCCCTGCAGGACAGCGGCAAGTGTGGCCAACGTGCCCCAGCCAGCCCCAAGCTCAGTTCTTGGTGTCACTTGAAATGACCCACAGCCTTTGGCTGGGCCCTCCGTGTTGGCTAGGCCGGGCGGCCCAGGGTCTGAGAGGAAGGGACGGGGCTGAGAAAACCCCAACAGCCCGGGGTCTGGGGCCCCGCTGCTGCACCTACTACTTGGAGAATCCTGGGCAGGCCCCGAGGTGCCGTGAATTTAACTGCCCAGCCCAGAAAGCCATAGAATTCAATGGAATGTTGAACTACCAGCACCCCACCCCGCCAAAAAAAAGTAACCAAGCCAAGGGGGAACCGAAGGGCGTGGTGGTGATGAGCTGGGAGTCCCGTCCAGGATTGCTGGAGGGCAGGGCAGCCAGGTCAGAGCCAACGGCAGGCCGAGCCCTTCACAGACAGCGTGTGGCTGAGAGGGTAGGGAGGGAGGCGGGCAGGACCCTCTGCCAAGAAATGCTGAGCTTCCCGGCCACGGGGACCATGGGGACCGTGACTTGGCACCAGTGCGGTGGTGCCTTCACTGGGTGGGGCCCTGCCTTGGCCAGGCCGGCTCTGCTCAGGCCTGCATTTCTAATGTGCGCCCCCCCAACCCCCCCCCCCCCCCCCCCCGCCAAACAGTCCGGGAGCTCGAAACAAGATTGGCGCTGCCCGTCCAGCTGCCAGTGGCCAGTCCTGTGGCGGGCAGGAAGAGCCCATGGCAGGGGCTTCTGCTCATGTGCTCAGGAGAGAGGGTCGGGGACGGTGGCACAACGAGAACCGTCTGGCTCTGCTTCACGCTTGCCAGCGCCAACATCCAGTCACGCTGATTTTTCTTACAAAGGTGGGGAGTGAGGAAGGAGGAAGATTAAGGGATTTTCCTAGTGGAGCAGGGACTTCTTGGCCTGGAGAGGGAGCTCAATGGGCCAGTGGCGCCTGCTAGCAAGTGGGGGCCCCACAGCTCCCCCCAACACCATCACCACCAGGAGGAACCCCTGAGCAGCCTCCAAACACTTCAGGGCAAGGTCCCCAAGCCAAAAAAGATAAGTAAATATAAAGTAATTCTTGGGGTGTCAAGAAGGAATTCTTGGAGAAAACAGGAAACAGTACAGAAAGTGTATGTGTGGGGTGGGAGGCCATAAGTCACCATTCCTGAGCGCTGAGCTGATTCTCTATGCTCCCACCAGTGGCAAATGAGAGCACCGCGTTTCCTAGGACCCATCAACATCATCACTACCTTTCATTTTTTCCATTTGCACAGGAAATATGACCTCTTGCTTTTGTTGCTTTTTTCTACTAATTGACAGCTATCTAGAGGGCACAGAAACTCACAGCTACAAATGCTGTTTCACCGTAGTATATGTGTTTATGTAACTTATTGGTGGTGGTCCACATCCAACAGTGCTTGGGGAGGAGGGAGGACCAGGAGGGAGGACCATAGGGGTTGTCGGGGATGTGAGTGAAGGTTGGCCACAGCAAGGCAAGTGCCCTACTTGCTGTACGATTTGCTCTAGCACCCACATTTGTCTTTGTTTTGTGGGTCACATCTGGTGATGCTCAGGGCTTACTCCCGGCTCTGCTCAGGAAACTAGTTGGGGTGCCAGGATCAAACCCAGGTCAGCCACGTGCAAAGTAAGTGGCTGTGCTATTGCCCCAGCCCTCACCCCAAGCCGCATTTGTTTTTTAAATAGGGGTCACACTCTGTGAATGGCCTGGCCATGGGGACCTGACTTCTGGTGGTGCTGAAGTCCACTGCACTGGTGGGAACTGGCCATGGATGCACAGTTATGTGAAACACAGGGATGGGTGATGAATCAGCCTCCCCCCCCCCCCCCCCCAGTCTAGAACTCTCTTTCTAGCGGGGGAACTATGGGAAGGCAGAATGGTAAAAACACCTTACTAAATTAGTCTGAAAAAAGGAGGCGGAGCAATAGTACAGCGGTTAAGGTGCCTGCCTTGCACGCAGTCCACCCTTTACCCCATATGGTTCCCTGCGCACAGCCAGGAGTGATTCCTGAGTGCAGAGCCAGATGTGGCCCCTGAAAATAAGTAAGTCTGAGTAGAAAGCCACACTATTTGCAAATACAGACAACTTTATCTTCTTTTCAAACCGCTCCACTATTTACTGTTTTTGTTTACTTTTTTTGTTTGTTTGTTTTGTGCTCAGGGCTTATTCCTGGGTATGTACTCAGATATCAGAACTGGCAGGGCTTGGGGAAAATACGGGGTGCCAGGTCCTACCCACTATACTATTGCCCTGGCCCAGTGCTCTTAAAGAAATGGTGGGGGGCTGGAGCGATAATACAGCAGGTAGGGCATTTGCCTTGCACGCGGCCGACCCAGGTTTGAGTCCCAGCATCTCATATGGTCCCCTGAGCACCGCCAGGAGTAGTTCCTGAGTGCAGAGCCAGGAGTAATCCCTGAGCCTCGCTGGGTGTGACCCAGAAAGAAAAAGAAAAGGAAAAAAAAAGAAATGGTGGGGTTTTGTCCCTAGGCAACCTAGCCCTTAAGTACCCGGCCATTCAGTCCCAGTCAGAACACCACCCCCCATGTTGGCATCAGAGAAGGAGGAGATCCTGGGCAGGCTGGCCTGCAGGAGCTAGTCTGTGGGCGCTGAAATAGGCAGATAAGAAAGAACTCACTGTGGACAGAGGACTCGAACTCCCTCCCTTCATCCCACCCCAGATCAGCACAGATACTTATTTTCTCTAGTATCCTCCCTGGAGACTGAACAATCTGGAACCCCCATGACCCCGATCCTCCCTCCCAGTCCATTCTCTGCCGCCGAGTCTCGGGAAGACAGAAGTTCTTGGCTCACGCTTTATCCATTGTTGCTGGATCTTCGGCTTCAGTGGGCCAAGGAAAGACCCACTGATGTAGAGGGAGAAAAATAGACTTGCAGATTCAGTCTGACATTGAAAGCTGATCCTTTTGTAGACGAACACCTCCTTTTATAGCAGAGGGAATTATCTGGGAACTTACATCATTCATAAGTGGTTTGGGTCATGTCAATTTTGATTTGTAGATCAGAACGTGAACCTCGTGTTAGAGAAGTCATGGAGGTCGGCTTTAGTGATAATTCTCTCTCTCTCTCTCTCTCTCTGCCCCCTACTCTGTCTTTCCAAGTGTGTATGACAGCTCAAGTTCACAAAAGGTTTTGAAAAAGGGCCCCTTTGAACAGGGATTGCATAATAACTATTTGGGGGTATTATAGACACTGTGGAGGATAAAATCTACAGATCTGTGCCCAGAGAAAAATGCACAAATCAAAAAAAGAATCTGTGTGGAATTTCTTAACATTCCTGGATCCTTGGAGGCCTGTTACTGAGCCTGTCTGATGTCCAGAGGTCTGTGAGCAAGAGAGGCCTTATCTAATGAGCTCGTCTTCGTGTGGGGGTCAGCACCTCGATTCCCCCGGGAGAGCTCAGCTCTGCTGCCTCCTTCCTCCTGTCAGATTCCCTCTCCCAGGGCCAAGGCTGATGCCGAGGGAGATGTGAGGAAGAATCTCTCTGTGCTCCACCACACTGGCGTCTCTAAGCCTCACTTCAGGGTGGGGAGGATGAGAATGGCCAGGGCTGAAAGGCACCATACTGTTTTACTGTTTTTTTTTTTTATTTGGGCCATACCCGGCGGTACTCAGGGATCACTCCTGGTGGTCTCTGGGGCCCAGATGTGGTGCTGGGGACGGAGCCCTGATTGCCATGTGCAAGGCCAACGGCTGACCCGCCCGACTACCGCTCCAGCCCTATTCGTCCCGTGTTCATTCCCAGAATGCCCCCCGGCTTGCGGAATCGTCTCCTTCCACAGCCCTCCCACAGTCCCAGTAACTAACTCCAAGAGAACATTCCGCAGCCCAAAGTCAAAATCTTGAAGTCCAAGTGTTCACCAGTAGCCCACTGGACACAGGAGTGAGGCTGCACAGAGGAAACAGCCAAAAAGAAACAGGAGACAATATTAGCTCAACTTGGCCAAAATCAAAAGGCATGACAAAGTGGCCTCTTGAGTTCCTAAAAGTAACCAAACCCTGGCCCGGGGGCAGGTTCTGGTTAGTGATCCCCCAGCGGTGGCTGGGGTTATCACCCTGGGAACACCGGCCAGGAAGGCTTTCACAGTGAGTGAGCCACGGAACAATGACGCAGATTTCAAGAGAACAGTCGTGGGACTTGGCAGACGGTAAAAGCACAAACTAGAAAGTTAGGCTCACATGCCAGGGGGATAGTCAGTATCCACAGACGCCGCAGGGGAAGGGCAATTTCAGAGAAGCCTCAGTTCCTGAGAATAACACAGCATCTGCCTCTTACACCTTTTGAGGAGTGGAGGGGGTGATGGCAGGCCCCCCA